TAAACTGTTATATGGGTTTCCTTCTACATTCTTAATATGACAAAAGCAAACTGACAATCCTGTAACATGAAACGTGAAGCAGATTTGTTCAAACTGCTTCATCTTGTGAGAACCTGAATATCATTAACTCCCGTCACCCAGTCCCCTAAAGTCTCACGCCATGCAATGTATTTCATGTCATTCACTGCAATGTTTGTGGCACACCGAGCTAACTTGTTCATGAATTATCATCACTGGAGTAATCAGGAAGAAAATATAGCACAAGAGGAAGATCCTGCATTACTTTTGCAAGCACGTCATTTTTGTTGAACATCACTGTCTTAATAGACAGTGATAGCATAAAGACTTGAATTGTTTGGGACAAACTAATATTAATAAAAGTATAACAGGATACAAGCAAAGTAAGGTTTTTAAGATGACCTCTCATTAGACCAGTTGATATAGCTCTAAAACCACACGAACCTTTTGGCACACTAGTCTAATGTTATATAAAGATATAAAGCCTCAGTTTCAGGCATGAATAAGCCTTTGTGCCTGAAAAAAAAAAAAACATCTTAGCATCTTTCTTTTCCTGATTTGTTGTTTCATTATTTTTTTTCCAGAAGTTTTAGTTAAGTTATTCTTTTAATTCAATGAAAACTATGAGACATTTCTAAGAGTTATTTGCTCAGTTACCAGTTCCCAACCCAGAATTTGAGACCTTATACATGGTATTCTGTGGAAGTTAAAAAGCAAGGATTCCTGCCTTGCAGTGGAAAGTTTTAGAAGTATTGGTTTAGGCCATCATGTCAAATAAAGACTGGAGGATATTATTTGGTATTATAAAGCTAATGGATCCAACTGGCCCTTCCACCCATAACAGTTTTTTATTCATCCAAACAAGGTCATGTAATTTCTACACACCTCAGCTTTGTTTTTTTCATCTATACAGGTCAGAGGAGAATATGCCTTTTAGCCCCAAAATATTGGTGGGCATATTTGGAACTGAAACTTCTATTAAAAGTAGACTCATTTTGGATGTCATTTAGACTTTGAAATATTTGGCATCTGTGACACCTAATGTGGTTGCTATCTTTTCTGTTTGGGCTGTTTCTCTTTCATCACAAGCTTTTACAAGATAATATTGGGCCTTTTAAATTTAATTAGAACCTTATTTATTCTCTTTCTGGATTTGGCTCTGCTAATTATGGTCTGAATCTTTTTCAGTTCTTCATACCCAGTAAAAATATTATTAGATAGCTCTTTGTTGTGGCATTTCACAATTTAAAATGTATGCTTCTCATCTGAAAATATTATACACATCACTTCAGCACAGTATTTCATAGAGAACATATTATAATATCTGGGCTTTGGAAATGATTTTTTCTCATGCTGAATTACATGTTTTAAGTACACATACTAACATTGCATTTATGAAGAGACAGTTATACAAATTTCTACTCACAATTACGTGAATTGCATTGCAGACTTTAACCAAGTTACCACTTACCATGAATAAGAGGGAAAAGTTTGTCCCAGCCAGTTACCTGTGTATGAGTAAACTAAGAAGGGATAGGATGCTGGCTTGAGCATTGGCATACGATACTGATAAAATCTAAGTATGGTTCTTGGCATAGTTCTGTCATGTGCCAGCTAGCACTCTACCAGGTGATAGGGGTCAGCACGGATTAGGGATTATTTTCGAAAGATAGCATAGATGAGGCTATGGTACTTGTGGGGTGGGGAAATGAGTTTAGCTATGTAGACACAAGCTATGCAGGTCCACTCAGTAGGTCTGAACCATCGAAGTAAGTCTAATAGCAATATTAGACTTAAGTAAGTCTAATAGCAATATTAGACTTACTTATTTTCTATCTTACCAAATATAGTAGTAACATTAGTTATCATATTTTATTTATAAATTGCCAAATTCTGTTTTTATGAACTTCAACACATTAACCTTAGAAAACGGTATTTACTTAGTTAGATCAGAGTTAGATTTCTTTGCTTGAGTATGGAAGATGCTGCTCCCTGACATGTACCTAGAGTAAACATCAATAATCAAATAAATCTCACAAAAGCTTAGATACAAAGTTGGTCAGGAATAGTATTTTTTTTCTATGAAATCATTTAATCAAAACAAGTCTAGAATATTTTATTTGTAATTTTGGTTTAAAAACTGCAGTCCTAAATTGCTAAATCATTGCTCCACATTCACATTTCCACATATTGCTTAGGTTCCCTTCCCGGATGGCATATATTGTTGTATTCAATAGGACTGCTCATGTGATTATGAGGTTTTGTGGCATGTGAAAGCTTGCAAAAACAAACAAACAAAAAAAAAGAGCACTGTAATGCCTCAGTATTGAAAATATTGAAAATGCTTCAACAGTTGCTATTATTAGGAAAAGAGCTGTTTTTCAAAAAGAGTGGCTACAGGAGAATTAAATTTTTCATACAAAAACATTTGAAAGAAAACTTGTGAGCTGTCTATTACATTTTCCAATTTACAATCTACTTGTCTGGTAGATTCTTGTTCTGCCATGAAGAATCATAGAATCATTAAGGCTGGAAAAGACTTCCAAGACCATCAGGTCCAACCATCCCCCTACCACCAATGTCATCCACTAAACCATGTCCCTGAGCACCATGTTCCACCCTTTCCTAAAACACCTGACTCCAACACCTCCCTGGGAAACACGTTCCAGTGCCTGACTACTCTTTCTGAGAACAAATGTCTCCTAATTTCCAACCTAAACCTCCCCTGGCACAACTTGACGCTATTCCCTTTAGTTCTATTGCTAGTTATCTGGGAGAAGAGGCCAACCTCCACCTCCTCACAATTTCCTTTCAGGTAGTTGTAGAGAGCAATAAAGTCTCCACTGAGCCTCCTCTTCTTCAGGCTAAGCAACTCCAGTTCCCTTATCTGCACCTCATAAGACTTGTGTTCCAGGCCCTTCACCAGCTTTGTAGCCCTTCTCTGGACACACTTCAGTAACTCAAATATCTTTCATAAAGTGAGGGGCCCAAAACAGAATACAGTACTTGAGTTGCAGCCTCAGCAGAGCTGAGAACAGGGGGACTATCACCTCCCTGGTCCTTCTGGCTACACTACTCTTGATGCTGGGTGCCTTCTTGGCAAGACTTCTTACAAGCCAGGATGCTGTTGGCCTTCTTGGCCACCTGGGCACACTGACAGCTCATGTTTGGGCAAGCATCGATAAACACCCCCAGATTCTTTTTATCTGCACAGCCTTCAAGACACTCTGCCCCAGGCCTGCACCGTTGCATGGGGTTGTTGTGGCCAAAATGCAGGAACCAGCACTTAGCCATGTTGAACCTCATCCCATTGGCCTCTGCCCATTGCTCTATCCTGCCCAGGTCTCTCTGCAGGGCCTTCCTACCCTCCAGAAGATTGACACTTCCACCCAACTTGGTGTCATCTGCAAACTTACTGAGGGTGCACTCAATTCCCTCAGGTGGATCCCATCTGGTCCCATGGACTTGTGACAGTCCAGGCAAAGCAGCAGGTCTCTAACTGTTTCCACCTGAACTGTGGGTGGTTTCTTCTGCTCCCTGTTCCAGAATTTATTACTGAAAATTTTATATTGTTTCTTCCATAGTAAGATGTCACTTCAGAAGATAGTATTTTGTCTAAAAAAAGTGCAGGAAACACCAATGCCAATACTGTTTCAAAGTTATTTCTGTAAGGAATTTCAATTTTCAACTAAAAGAAATAGAACCATGAACCAAACTTCAAGGATTTATATTTATAGGGATCTCTACTGACTTTAAGAAGAATATATGTTCCAGAAGAGATGATTCCTGCCCCAAAGATATAGAACCATATAAAAAAAAATTATAGGTTGGAACAAGAAAGCATTGGCATGATCTTTCCGCAATACTTATTTCCGTTGCCTATGAGGATGGAGAAATTTGTATCAGTCAGGAACTGCATATAACTTTTTACTTCATCCTACTGCTTTATCTCATAAAGACCAACCAGTAGTACCAATGAACTCACTTTTGCAAAAATAGTAACAGTATCATTAACAGTTTACTACTGAAGTCAAACTTAGGGTTACAGTAAGTATTAAAACTTTTACAGGATCATGAAGGAATCCCGATGAACCAAGAACACAATTTGAAATTTCTTATTCCCATTGAGATTTTCTTTATAACTTCTCAGATTTTTTTGCCACCCCTGTATTAACATTACTGAGTCATGAACTCTTTAAAAAACAGGACGTAAAACTAGGGAATTCACACATGTCATACCTGAGGTTATATCTTTGATTTTTGGCACTGCCACAAATAATGCAAGACTTTCAGGCACGCTAATGTAGTATTTGCATATGAGCCAAAAGACTTTTTTATTCTCTGGCCTGTCTTTATTTACCTTATAGCTTAGGCATTCTTTAAATGCATTTGTGTCCACGAACTAGCGCAAAAGAGATTATTAGTGCTTTCTGAGCAATGAAAACAAGCAAGCTAAGCGAAAACACTTTTGAATTTTTCTAGCTTTACGTTGTAGGTTCATGGCTCCTTCAACATTGTGCTGTCAGCGTATTTTACTAGCCTATATCATTTTTATAGATCATGAACAGTAGATGCCTAAATGTTGACCCCTGTCAGGCCCCAGTAAATCTAGTTTTCCACAATCTAACATAACTTCTCTGTTTTCTGTTTTTCTATCAGTGCTTTATCCACTCCCATGTACTTCTCTAGATCCTGGCAACTTTTAGCTTAAACAGAGACCAGTAGTATGGAACTTTGTCAAAATGTTCTGAAGATCCAAATAAATTATACTGTGTTTTATCAGCTTTGTCTGCAGCCTCCTGAAACATCAAGTTAGCCAAGACCTTTTCTTTCTAAATCATTCTGGTTATCTCTGTTAGTTTAGCACCATGTATTTACTTTTATAACATGTCCTTTGCTGTATTCTGTATTAAATACCATAGTGATGGAATTGCAGTTCCTTGGGAATGCCCTTTTCAACTTTGTGTAGAGCTGTACTGTATTATCCATTCATTTCACTCATGGTGTGTTAACTGAATAGAACAAGCTTTCCCGTACTCCACTGAAAACCAACCCCAACTACTATATGAAAAGTACTATATGAATCCTAGAGGTGTTTTTTTTTTTGTTTGTTTGTTTGTTTTTTAATTATTATTTGTTTGTTTGTTTGTTTTTGTTTTGTTTTGTTTTGTTTTTCCTCCAGATTTCTGTTTAGGGGTCACTAATTGTTCAAAGATTTCCACTACTGCTTCATAAGTTTTGAACAGATTAATCTTTACAGGTTTATACTGAGGACTGTGATGTCAACAAAGTTACATCATCTTTACAGCAAAAGTTTTCAAAATATCTTCAGCAAAGTATAGAATATTTGAAAGATACTTGAGATATTGTTAGATATTGTAGGCCATTGGTTTTTTGGTGGTGGTGGTGGTAGGGATTTTTTTCTAGAGGATATCTGTGCTATCAATTAAATCATGCAGATATCAATATGTATACCTAAGTTTCCATTTCAAATTGGATTTTAAAATTTTGTAATCAGTTTTAATTGGCCATCTTTTGCAAAATCAGTTTTGATTGGCCATCTTTTTTTCTGGGATAAAAATCCTTTTTTTCAATGCTTAAAACTGGTTATTTTTTTCCTGAATATTAAAGACTTAACAAGAAGACATGTTAAGATGAATATTTGATTTGTTCATTTTTCCAAGAAAATTCCTGTTTTTATAAAATCTTCACAGAATTTATTTTTAAATGACTTGCAGATTTTTTATGTTTTGATCTTGAAATTGTCAGTTTCTTTAAGATTTGATTTTTATGTCAAAGTCAGTCAACTGCTAAGGTAAAATATGTTTATCTGTTCAGTTATCACTTTTTTTTTTTTTTTTTTTGGAACTGTTGACACTACTGTCAGCTTCAGTACATTTCTTTTTCTTTAAACTATCTATAGACCTGATGGACTGAATAAACATTTGGTTTGTTAAATCAGTGTTATCAGTAACACCTGTTATCCGTAACAGCTAAGCATCTTGTAGCTCCACTTCTGCTATTTGAGGATTGTTCATGAAAAGACATTGGCTTTGCTTTGAAGTCTCAATATGCTAAACATAGGGTTCCAGTGCTATCCCCCAAACATTTTCAGGGACACCCTAACTGACTTCCAGATAGATTTCCCAGCCGATGGATATTGGTCCCTTGAAGATTTTGTGTCACATCTAATTACTTTGCAAGAGTCTTAGGCAACCTACTGTGTCTCAAATGGCATAAAATAATTAAACTCACAGTGGAGTTTGTGTCCCCTATTTTAGATATGTGCACTGAAGATATTTTTGACTGGGCAGGTCACATTAAACCACTTTTACAGTCAACTGAATAAAATAGTCTCTTCTAGTGTGCAGCTCATCTTAATGTATTTTAGGAATCATTGAGAAGAAATGAGTCTTATCTACAAGTGCTTATTTCTCTCTATGAGTTTTCTCTTGAGAACCCCATGGATCCTAGAGTACAGGTTTCTCTGGTCCGGGTGCATTGGATGCCCCAGTAAGGAAAAAGAATTAAATCCATCATCAATGCATTTAATGCAGTCTGTAAGTCCAAGTGTAGCTCTTTAGTATCATCATGACAGGACTCTAGATTCCTTTTCATTTATTTATTGCAACTTGTTTTCCCAAACAGTTTGTTTTAAATATGTAACCGTCTTGCCTGAGTGTAACTGAAATGCCTACATGGGCCTGGTAGATGTGACAGAGAACCTTTGGAAGAGCTGTGTTTCCTGGAATTATAGTTGCAGGCCAAGAAAAACACACTTCAAATGCCACTGAGTGTTTACATTTCAGAATCTGACTCTGTGTCTGGATCTCCAATGACTTAAAGTGGAGGTCATGTGGGCACCTACACTGCAGCTCTTCAAAAGTTCTGATGTCTGAAGGAAGTGAAATTGCACTTTTTCTATTAATATGCTCACAGAATGATTCAGTTGATTAATATTAGGTATGCAGATCCATTGAGATACCCATATGAGAAATGCAGCCTAACCTGTTAATGTAACCTGTAGGAGTATAACTGTCACTCTAGAGGTGCATGAATTGTTTAAATCCCAGATTGTAACTGTCTGCTAGGCACTAAAAGCCTATGTTTCAGCAGGTAAATTGCATCCTTAAGTTTAGGCTGACTAGCTCTAGAAGAACTTAATGCTTGGAGGTAGGAGCATGACGTTTCTCTGAGAAATCCTGAGTATAATGATATTGCTAAATAAAATAAGTACGATCAGAAAGAGTTAAAGTACCAAACGCTTGTTCATTCACAGTTCTTAGGGCACTCTCTGGCTGTGTTTTAGATTAGCCCATCCCGTTCTTTCCAAGAAACTTTTGTTATAAGTAGAGATAGTTCTACACTGGATGAATATGAGCCATTTTATATTACCTGGTCTCTAGATAGGTACCTGGTTTCACTTGTTTTTGAAAACTCTCCCTCAAAAGCCTCAATTAAGGCTTTTCCTCTTTAGCTGGATGTAAGAAGATTTGCTGTACAAGAGATTAAAAAATGTAAGAGGGCTCCTGGTCTAGTTGATAGGGGACTCGCAGCAAACTGGTGAATCTCAAGAACTGGTGGCTGCCTGTATATTTAGCTTGAGAAGACTTGGATAATGTACAAAAACAGGCCCTTTATCCTTTTTCAGTAACAGAAATACAGTTAGAATTCAGAGTAATTCAATGTCAAGTACAGAGTATATTCTTGAACAGAGGTTACACGTGTGTCAGCAGAATCTATTTTTGCTCATGTACTTCTGCATACAAGCTACAAAAATCCACTGAGAAGGTCCATTTTGATCTATACAGATAGGAGTGCATGAATAATCCAGGGGGGAGTACCTCTGTACTAAACTCTTTGTGTTTTAAAAATGATTCATTTAAAAAATCCATACTGAAGATATTTGGAAGATAAGCCTTTCAGTGATAACTTTCATTTCTAAACAGAGAAGGGATTTGAACTCAGGATTAGACTATTGCAATTGTTGAGTTATTTTTCTTCCTGGAACCAGTACTGCAATATTACAGTCTACAAAGCAAATCCTATAGAACTCTATAAACAAAACAGCATCTGGATGGCTACTTACTTAAACTGAAGTAAATATATTAAAAGAAGCAGCAGCTGCCACAGTTAAAATATGAATTGATTTAAATCCATGATCAATTCACCCTGATCTTTAACATAGTAATCTGACATCATGGCATTGGTCAGCACAATTCAATCTTTTCAATCTTTTAGGAAATAAAAACAATAAATAAATAAATAAAAGAAAAAAAAAGCTTACTGGCTGAATTTCTGTCCTGTTGCTATCTTACCTTGAGGTCTTTATTGATATTTAAATGTTACAATAAGAGCCATCACAGAGGGAAAAAAAAAAAAAAAGTGGAGGGAGGGGAGAAGGAGGGATAAAGGTGTTTAAGAATAGAATGAGAGAAAGAGAAGAGAAAACTGACTTATTTCAATAATCTCATATAGCCAATTGCTGCAACATTTTCTTCTGCCTTTTTTTTTTTTTTTTTTTTTCTGTGGGAAAGTGTAATAAGCTTGCATTGATCTATGGACCTTATTCCTTGGGGAAATATGAGTCACAGATGCATACTTTGGAGACACTCTTAAAAAATATTATCTCTCAAGTGTTGTGTGAAGCTTTACAGCCTTCTTCCTGCAAATCTTCCATGTCACTGTTAGAACCAAGTCCAGAATATTTACATCTAAACAACTTATGGCATCTGTCAATAAAAATTCACTCTGCTCCTAAACATTTCTAAGTGCAGCATTTAAAACTGCATAAACAGGAGTGAACTAGTAGCAGTCTAAAGTTGTCATCATTGACAGTTATGATTTATCTTAACTCTCCCTAGCCATTTGGCTAAAGTTTTAAGTAAACACTTTCAGTCTTCCTCATGTTCTCTTTACTGCCACCTCCCACTAATAAGAGATGTTGCCAAGAAAAGCAGCCAGACAGTTCATTTACCTCCCAAACTTGCCTGAAAGTAGCTTGCCTGGTTTAGACAAGGGTTGAAACTACTACTGCACATTTTCAACAGATGGAACAATGCTTCACAAATTATTTACATTAAAGTTATTTGCTTTCAGGATGTGTGTTTAACGAATGGTTACTTGAATGAAATATTGCAGCTCAGACAGAGAATGCAAGCAATTCAAGCAAGCCATTTATGGTGATAGATGTAGCTGTGATCCTTAATTTTCTACAAAGCAATGTAGCATTTTGTCCTCATTCTTCACTAGCTCCTTGAATCTGACAAAAGTATGGTTTCTATTTTCACTCTCTTCCTCCTCTGCTCTCGTTCTCCCCTGCAGGCATAGTTCCATTAATCAGCTATGTAGCAATAATACCTTGCACTGATAAGACCTTCTATCATTAGCAAATCTTCAGAGATCCTTGTAAATATTAAATTCATAGGATCACATGAAGAACTCATAGTTATCCCCATTTTAAAAATGAAGGTATAAAGGTTTTACAAAGCCTTTATGTGTTAATTGAAGCCAGCCAAATACAGAAATAAACTCTGAAAATCCAACTCATTCGCCTATGTTCAGTTTCACATACTGTTGTTTTTCTTTAAAAGAATATAATTAATTAATTAAATAAATAAATAAATAAATACAAGGTCACTACAGCTAGCTAGCATCACTACTGTTCTGAAATTTTAAATGGGAGAGTGAATTGAACAGAAACTTCTAGTAGTTTTTAAAGAAGAAAATCTGTATGGAGTTTTTCCTTTTATGATCAGCTTGAGTTGGACAGCATAACATTGCTACATGGCATTACACTATGAAACTTACGAAAATAACAGAATCCAGCCATCAATTATTATTAAATAATAGTTAGGTAGACTGGACAGTTGCAAAAAAACAAAGAGTAGCTTCAAAAAGGGGGACCACTCCACCTTGAAATTCTTTCTGTAGGCTAGTAAATAATTTCTTTAAAACACCAGACCAACAGTATGATTGGAAAAGTTTTATCAATCTATACAAAATAATAGGAATGTTCCTGACAGTTTGCTGTTTGATTCTGCAGAGAAGATCATATTAGCAAAAATCCCAAATGAATGTTTAGCATCCACC